CGCAGCACGGGCCAGGCCGCCAGGCACCAAGGTGTCACGGCAGTGCGGACGGGGAGATTCAACACATCGACCTCGGTTTTACCCCGGCTGCGCGTTCCTGCGTGGGGCGGCCATCACCGACTGGGCTCTCTGTGAAGTTCTTTCCAGGTTCTGCTGTCTCACTCTCTGGGAGGAAGACCACTCCTCACTCCACCTTCCTCCTCCTCCCTTAACAAGAGAAGAGCTTTTAGGCAGCCACGAGCCCACCTGGGCCAAACCAGAGCTGTTTGGGTTTGGCCAGGTGCTTCAAACCACGCGTTGGCAGCCCACGGACACCTGGAGGAACAGCACGAAGCCTCGCCAGCCCGTTCCCCAACCCCAAGCAGAAGCTCGGCTTCCCACTTCCACCCCAGAAAAACACCCCTGGAGAAAATTACCTTCCAGCAAGCTTCTAACGACGAGGCCGGGCTCTCCCACCCCAGCCACACGTCCCCGCCAGCTCGCTGCTGAGCCCCTGCAAACCCAGCGGTGCTTTCCATCGGCGCTCGGTCTGGAAGCGTTCCTGCACGGATAAACAGGAGATCACACAAATAAAAAAAAATGGCTTTGGGTTTAAAAACCAGCCTTTATAACATTAAAAATATAGGAGGGAAATGAAATCATTATTTAGGCAAAGCTTCGTGGATTTAATTGCTGCTTTTCCATTGCGTGTAATTGGTGTTTTAAGTTATATTAGCAGTGTTTCCCACGGAGAGGCAGGTGTGTGCTACAGAAACAGGGTGTTATTAATAGGATAACCACAATTAAGTGTAATTGGGATCATCATATCAATCACTCCATGGAGCAGCACCAGCTCAGGGTTTTCCACCTGGTTTTCTGATTGTCGCGGTGACGCACCGAATTGCAGATGCTTTCCTTGGCGTTGGGCACTGGCAGCAAAAAGCCCCGTAACTTTTTACGTCATCGACCCGTTCACGGAGAGCTAACCCGAGGGCCAAAAATCCACCCAGCTGTGCCAGTGCTTCCCCAAGCAGCCGTACGCGTCCCTGCCTGGCTCGGGGCAGAGCTGCGCTGCCTCTGTGCCACACAGCTCGTGCGGTCTGCCGGTTTAATTTATTTTTTTACTGCAGAGATTTATCGATATATCTGAGAGCAGGATGGATCTGCCAGGGAAAAAAGATCAGTGGATAAAACTGTGGCTGCCCTCGTAGTCTCAGAGAGGCGGAGAACACCTTTTTCGTAGGAAGAGTGAGGTTTCGAGAGTGTTCGTTAAGCCACAGCGGAGGACAAGAGACCGGGGGGTCTCGACAGCCTGGGAAGATGCTGTGGTGGGTACGAGAGGCAGGGTCTTGCAGCAGTCGTCGTGGTACCCGCAGTCCTGACCCGCAGCATCGCGGCACAGCGGCGTCCTAGGCTGGTTTCATCTTGCTGGCAGCTGATGGTTCTCCCGGGTCAGCTGCCAAAATGAGGGCTTTTTTCTAGATTGCATTTTATACTTGCACTCGGAGCATTAAGCCGTGACATCTCCCATTCCCCCGCTTGCGGGAAGCAGCTAAAAGCTCACTTTTCCAGAAAAGAAAGGTGAAAATCTGAGGAATTCGTACAGCTTCATAAGCCAGGCTTGAAGAAAACCTTCAGATGCATTAAAAAACCCCCCCCCGAATCCCACAACAACAACAAAATCCAGGAGCAGCAACACTCACGTGCGTCGCCCAGCGACCTCGCAGCCCTCAGCCCTGTTTCCCCCAAACCCCAGCTTTCAGAACGCGTCGGCCCTCGAATCCTAACAAACAGCCCCCCAGACAGGGCTTTGCTGGGAGGCAGAGGGAGCAGGACCATGACTGAGTTCACCTGAGTAGAAGCCTAAAACCCGCAGAAAACACTGAGGATACTGAAATGAGCAGCAAGACCTCAAATCCTGCTTATGCCGGGGAAATTCCCGGGTGCTTCCAGTGCTCTGCAGGCTAAAAAGTGACTGAAATTACAGGCAGGCTGGTGGTGAAGATGGGCAATTCTTGTCTCAGATAGCAGGTGATGGAGCCCAGGTGAGAAGTAAATGACAGGAGCGAATGGACTTGCCTTTGAACAGGGCCATCAACAGATCAACCAATCTAAGGGACCACAAGGACCGAGGAAGCTGAAGGCAAGCCCAGAAGATGCTGAGCTGGTTTACTGGTTTATTTTTCCAGGGCTAGCAAAAACTGGAAGCTCGAGGCGGCTCAGCTGGGGCCGCAGGCAATGTGGCAGCTTCCCCCGTTGCCGTCCCTGCCTTCCTCCTCACCTCTCGCCCAGGAGACGCCTCACCTCAAATCCCATCTAGGACATAACCACCCCGGGGCCACCTAAACACGGCTCCTTCCATATCCCTGAAGTGAGGAAAAAACCAAAACAAAAGCGATAAGGAATTAACAGCCGCTTGGAAACCCGAACAAAGTTTCTGTAGCGAGGCAGGCATCAGAAATTGGGCTTCTGTAATGAAGGCAGCCCCCCGGCTCCCCGCTGGGTGCCCGAAGGGAGCTCAGCCCTAGAGCGATGCAAAAGCAGCTCGGGAACCGCTGCGGCTGCCTTGTCAAGGAGACCTCACGCATCTGCAGGTGTTCGGATTCACAGCTGGGCCTTACGGACTGGGTTGGGTCGGGAGGGGGTTGCAGAAGCCCCTGTTTGAGAAGAAATGGGTCCTATCGGCGGTCTCTTCTGGTAGGTGCCCCGTGGAGGGATGCCCAGTTCCCGCGGTGTTACCCCATCCCGTAACCTGGAGTCCTTTCCGCTCTCCGTAGCCAACTCGCTGTCAGTCTCACACTTCTTCATACGTGATGCGTGCACTGAAATCGATGAAAACATGAGCTCAGAAAATCAGATTCTCATTTTTTAATTCAGACACCTTGCCCAGGTGTTACAGGCTCCTTCTCCTCCACTCTCTTTCCCCTAATCCCCTGTACTGCAGCTGGACATACCCACCTTGGCTTGTTCGGGAGGGAGAAACACCCAACCACCCTGCGCTTGGGGGTCAAACCCAAGCACCGAGCCTCCTGAAAAGAGGAAATTTCCCCGCCTTGTCATTTTTCTGCAATTTCCCCACCGTGTCATTTTTCTGGTGCTCCCTCCGCCTTCCACGTTAGACCTGGTGTGGGGTCAGGCAAACGCCCGTAACAAGGCAGGGGGGGGATTAAACTCACGTCGTCTTGGTTTGCAGCCTCAAGGGAGATGTCGCTGGGCGGCTTAGCCCAACACCCAATTACCTAGCCCACAATTAATTGATTGAAGTGACCCATAGGCCAGGCGGGATGGCCCTGATGAGCTCGGGGGCACGGGTGGCAACAGCTTCCACTCAGCCCGCATGGTGCCGAGTTAAGGACGGTGGACTGGAAGCTACAGCCCAGTGCCCAGCGGCAGCATTTATTCTACCTTTTTAATTCTACCTGCGTAAATCAAGCACGGCCCTGCAGCTGCGGCCCCAGCGGGGTGCAGTGCGGCAGCAGGAGGTGACCCAGGTCCTCACCCCGGAGCTAGCACCCCAGCGCCGGAGGGTTTGGCTTTCTTGCAGGTTCCAGCTGCACATCCCAGATGAGGCAGTCCACCCAGAGCAGGAGATCAGAGACCAAGTTTTTTCCCTATTTAAATACTTAATGGCTGGAGGATGGGGCAGAGAAATGTTCTGCTCTTGAGCACATCACCAAACCACACTCATTAACTCCTGATTCACGTGATAATGAGGGTTCCTTATGCTCCTCGTCCCCCTTTCACCAACCCAGGCCACATGCTGGGTTTATCCACAGGTGACTCCTGTTCTTGCCCTGGGCCTTGCTCATTCCTCGTCTTCAAGTGTAATTTTTTTAGGGAGGGGAAAGAGAGCCTAGGAGTGTGTTCCCGGACCAACACAGGAGCTCTCACAGCATTGCCCGCACCCTGAGAGCCTGAGGGTGGCAAACCACAGCGGGAAACGAATTAAGGATGGGAAACCTGAAGGAGAGGATGAAATCCCCGAGGCGAGAGCTGAGCGTGGGGCACATCGCCGGAGCAGCTCCGCTTCCGCAGGAGCTCGGACGGTTTCCGCAAATTCTTCCTGGTGGCAATCCCCGGATGATTCTCCGTAACTCAGCAGAAAGTTTGCAAGACCTGTTCCTTGCCGTCTCCACTCCACCGGCCGGTGCTTGGCGGGGAAGGTCTCGCTGTCTTGCGGCACCGCCGATTAGCCGCTCCTTTTGTGGAGGTTTGCGTGCACGGCGCTTGCTCGCGCACCCACCGCACGGGTCTCTGTGTACCCCTCTTTCTGCTCCCTCCAGAGCACGGCGTAGCCTTCGGCTCCAGACCGTGGGGCTCTGCCCCGCAGCAGGCTCGGCCCCGCGCAGGAGCACGTTGCGGAGGATCTTATCTTAACAACAAACCAGCAAACAGCAACAAGAGTTAGCAGGTACCCCCCGCCGCCGCTGCTCAGCACCCCAAAGCCACCCCACCGGGTTCCTCTCGCCAATGTAGGCACTTCTGAGAGCGGCCTGCAACCTGCAGCATGGCAGGGTTTGGGATTTGGGATTCAGGGAAGCTGCTCCTCGCTGAGCTCAAGCCTTGCGCTCGGGGTCAGAGCCAAGGGTCCCACCCTGAGCCCCCAGGGAAGCATCGCCCCAGCAGCCTCCCGGCTAGCAGTGGCCACAGGGCTACCTGGAGAACGGCAGGATGGCTCGGAAACAACGCGGACAAGGTGGGAAGGGGAGGCTGGAGATTTTTGCAGGGACCTGGCTGTCCTGGTGGATGACAGGTTGACCATGAGCCAGCAGTGTGCCCTGGCTGCCCAGAAAGTGAATGGGATCCTGGGGTGCATCAAGAGGAGTGTGGCCAGCAGGTCGAGGGAGGTTCTCCTTCCCCTCTACTCTGCCCTGGGGAGGCCCCATCTGCAGTGCTGTGTCCAGTTCTGGGCTCCCCAGTTCAAGAAAGATGAGGAGCTACTGGAGAGAGCCC